ATGCGCAACTAGGCCTCACTCCTTCATTTTATGAAAACTGTACATATTTGAGTAAATAGAGTTCAAATATTTGATATGTATTTATTAATAGCTATACAAATCTTTTAAGGTATTTCTAAACATTAATAATTCCTACAAATTAACAGTTATCTCGTTTGTTCGGAAGCTTTTGTAAGATAGAGAAAAGTGAAATAAGATAAAAGTGAAATAAGAAAATGAATAACTTTTTTTATTTTTAAGTGTTACAGAAAAAATATTTAAAAAATATTTTTTATAGGGAAAGCAAACAGTATGAATAAAATTTCTGCTATTCCAGCCTGTCCGGACAATTTAAGATTAAACAATAATAATGAAAACAATGTAAATGATATGAATGACTTTCCACTTTCACAATCTTATGGTATGTATATTATGTATTTAGTACTATTATTATATATTTTTTCATTATTATAATGCTATATATATTTGCAGAAAAAAGGAAGAGTTCCTGCACAAATCCCAGTTCAAATTCTGAACCCAGTGAGAAAATAAATATTTCTCAATTGCCCATAATATTAGAAGGTATACATATTATTAAAATGAATAAAAATTATAGTTATTGTAATAATTATAGTTATAGTATAATATATTAATGTCTCAATATTGTAGACGGTGCTCCATTATCTGCTCCATTTGAAGGAATGAGAGGATGTCTAGAGGACTCGAATATGAAAATAAGTATGTATTAATATATACATATGATGGCTGTTAATTAAGTAAATTGTTAATTAAGTAGCTACATGTATAAAAGAAATACAATTCTTTATTATATTCTTTCAATGTTATGATCAAATTTTTTCAAATTTGTGAGAGTCACTGCGTTCCATCAGCGCAGTGTTTTCTATCAATATCCAATGATTCCCATAAAAATTAAACAGGCACAAGACATAACAGAAGGAATCTAATAATAATTATTAGTAAAAGTAGAAAAGTAGTTTATTTTCTGCTATTACTTCACTAAAAGGCGTCCACGATGCCTAGAAATTAGTCCAAATTCTTGGATATATATATACAGTGACCGGCAAAAATAAAAAGCCACCTTAACTATAAAACTGATTTGATGCTAAAAGCTAAAAAAAATTCATTATAAAGTTTTTTATAACTAAAACTGAAAATTTATTAAGTAATTTAATGTTTTTAATTAAAAAGAAATCATTTTTTATTTAATACTGTATTTATTTCTATATAATCATTTATTTAAGAGTGACAAAATAAAAAAGCCAGTTAAGGTAACATAGTATTACGATTTAAAAAAACAACAATATTATTTTAATTAATAATTAATATGATTTCCTTTAGCATCAATTACTTTTTGCAGTCTTTTTGGTATACTTTCAATTAAATTTTTTAAATGTTGTGGATCCAAATTCTCCCAGGCTAGTTGTAATGCTTCAAAATAAGAATTCTTGTTAGTTACTCCGCTTTTATTAATCCTATTATCCAAAATTGCCCAGAAATTTTCGATAGGGTTTAAATCTGGAGATTGCGGAGGCCATTCAAGTTGTTTAATTCGGCAGGAACGAAAAAAAGCTTGACTTTTCTTTGCTGTGTGTTTCGAGTTATTATCTTGTTGGAAAATGAAATTATCTTCTAGTCCGAGTTTCAACAAACACTCCTCCAAATTTTCATTTATTATATCAATGTAGACATCTGCTGTCATAATTCCGTTAATTTTGACAAGATTTCCCACTCCTGCCCATGAGAAACATCCCCAGACTAAAATATTTCCTCCGCCATACTTTACAGTTTTCTGAATATGACGATCTTGAAGCTCTTCGCCGTGTTTTCTCCAGACTCTAATCCGCTTCTTTTGTCCAAATAACTCGAATTTGCTTTCATCTGTCCATAAAATATTTTTCCAGAAGTCCAATGACATATTTGCATACTTCCGAGCAAATTGCAAACGTTTTTTCTTATTGGTGACGCTAAAGAAAGGTCGTTTACGTGCAAACCGGCTGTGTAAATTTGCTTCATTGAGTCTTCGACGTACAGTGCGGTCAGAAACAGTAAGATAAATGTTTTCCTGAATTTCTCTAACAGTAATCTTTGGATTTTTCTTAACTTCACGGATTATTTTCATATCCTCCCGCTTGGATGTTGCTCGTTTTCGACCTCTTCCGATTCTATCTGCCACCGATCCAGTTGATTGAAATTTTCTTCTGATCTGTTCTACTGCTCCTCTACTTACTTCATAATTTTTGGCTATATTCCGTTGGGAAAGACCTTTTTGAATATCTCGCACAATTAAGTTTCGAACTTGTGTGGAAATTGATCTTCCTCCCATTTTTGACCGCGAATTTTTTGTAATAATCGAGATAAGCCAATGTTGCAAAAATGATTAACAACAACGAGAAGTGAGCGCAATAACACGAACATGTTGACATGACAACCAAACAAAATATTGTATATATTAAATCGAACAAATCTGAATGGCTTTTTTATTTTGTCAATATAATAAACAGCAATATTTAAGAAATATAAATAAAACTGAAAAGTAAAAAATAATTTATGTGATTGTAACATAAAATTTTAAAATAAATAATAAATGCTTCTTCTTTCATCAATGAAAATCTCATTGTTTTAATATTTTTACTCTTTCATTAAGCAAAACAGTATAACTAGGAAAATGGCTTTATTATTCTTTAACTACGGTCAACTGTATATATAATATATAGATATAAAAGAACGAATGCATCGAATTGAAGATGTTATGAGAAACCAAGTTTAGGTAAGTAACGAAGACAGGAGATATAATTGCTTTCTTTCATAATGAAAATCTATTTTTAATTTTTTTTTTCATAACAAAAGCAGTATGAGACTAGGAAAATGCTTTTTATTTTATGCCGGTCACTGTAATATAATATATTATATATATATATTATATTATACACATATATATAACATTACTCGTTGCATTGCAGACAGAAACCTGAAAGAAATATTACGTTCCCAAGCCACATCGAATTTAATATTGCAAGATATAAAAGAACGAATGCATCGAATTGAAGATGTTATGAGAAACCAAGCTCCGGTTAGGTAAGTAACGAAGAGCAGCGAGGATAGTCTTATTGCTGAACTATTACCCTTACAAACGATAGAAGCCATACGTAATTTTGATTTGCTGTTGCACAACACCAACGAAGCAGTGACGCAATTTGTAAGTTTTAATAGCATTTTTATTTTAATATACACAACTGTTTCATGATCCAGAGACTGGATCGCGGTGCCGCTTTCCCCATTCCAAGCGCGTGCTAGCGGCCGAGCACCGTGAAATGCAGTACCGTCTATCGGCGCGGCGTAGACGGCATTTCACGGCGCTCGGCCGCTAGCACGCGCTTGGAATGGGGAAAGCGGCACCGCGATCTTAGACCATATAGATATGAACTGCACATATCCCCACTTTTCTGCGTTTTCAATGAAGCCACATTAAGAGAAAGAGAGAGATATTGTTTGACCTAACCATGCGTGTGACAAAGAAGAAAGAGCAAATAAACTTTTTTTCTTTGTCACACGCATGGTCAAACAATCTTTCCCTCTTTCTCATATGGTTTCATTGAAAATGCAGAATGCGCAGTTCATATCTATATGGTCTAAGCACCGCGATGCAGCCTTTGGATGACATACAAATAGTGTTGCCATAATAATATATGGAAAGTTTTCTAATTGTTTATTTCTGTTTATAGAAACAATTTCTGTTAAGGATTGGTGGAAATAATCCTCGCGATATTATTCATCGCATTCTTTCCAAAATATTTTCCAACGAATATGCAATAAATTGTTCATAGAAAGGCATCCGTAATAATTTCAAAGTCTCCAACTTATATTTTATTAAAATTGTGAAAAGTATGTTCTACATGTTAATTAAACATATCTATTAACCGAAATCTTTGTTATATTATTTTACTAATTCTATATTATTTTTTCCAGGAGAAATTATTTTTAAACATTTAAATTTCACGGAAGTTGAATTTGATAATATAGCAGCAGAATGGCTGCGTTTTGCCAAACAACGAAAACAGAGACAAGACAAAGGAAAAGATGTCGAACGTGAACAAATTGATGAAAGTAATTAAGAAAAGTCTTATAGTACAAAATCTTTATAAGCATAAATAAGTTCTCGATAAATTTAAGTTGACATTCTTAAAGTATATTTATTTTAGGTTTGTATTAATTACGTGCAAGTTATTGATCATATGATTATCATTTTGTTTTTGTGTATAAAAAGAATCATTGATCATATGATTATCATTTTGTTTTTGTGTATAAAAAGAATCTATAAAAATAGAGTACAAATTTTTAGTTCTTATAGATAGATTCTTATAGAGATATAGATTCTTATAGAGAGTTCTTATAGATTTTATTTTCATTTTTATTTATGTTTTTGTCTAACAAAGTCTAAGTATAAATAAATAAGTAATGTACAAAATTAGTCAATATGTATTATATATGCATATTATACACATTCAAAAAATAATGAATAAAAGAAACTTTATATAAAAACAAGTATAGTTTATAACTTTTATTAACATATCATTTAATGATGGTTACATATCTATAAGATATTTTTAATAATCAATAAAGTAAAAATCTTAATTTTTTCAGTTATGTTCATTTATTTACAATTTAATGCAATATTATATATATATATATATATATATATATATGTATATATATACATATATTTGCCTCGACTGTGATTGGTCGATTCGTTTAACAACAAGTCTAAATTTTTTATGTGCTCCAGGTTTTAGACCCGTTCTACAATGAGTCGTAAGTCGTAAGTCGTAGGTAAATTAACCAATCATGGTTGATTATTTCAAAAATAGTCAACCATGATTGGTCAATTTACCTACGACTTACGATTTACGACTCAGTGTAGAACGGGCCTTAAGGCGTCTTTAGATGGAAGCGTTTAGCGTCAAGCGTCGAGCGTCAAAAACACGTGCGCAGCACCCTTGCGCATAAAGGCGTCTTTAGATGGAAGCGTTTAGCGTCAAGCGTCGAGCGTCAAAAACACGTGCGCAGCACCCTTGCGCATAATTCTGAACAGGCAGATTCCAGCATCTTGACGCTAAAACCGCTAAAACAATGTCTAGTAACAAAATTTTAATAAATACGGTAGAGGTAAGTAGATTGTATATTCTTAATAGAAAATGTATTAATATATATAATATATAATAAATATAATGGATATAATAGATATAATAGATATCATTATACAATATATATTATAGAATTGCGCGATTAGTAGCGTATTACAACATAACCAAACAGAAGGAATAATTGGCATAAATATATGTTTTCTAAATACAACATGAATATTATTTATTACAATGTATTCTTTGTATAGGATATAACGTGTGGAGTGTGCACGTAACTTTTTTTTGTTTCTTATATTCATGATTAATAATGCTGCTGCATTCTAATAACCATTGATGATAACGATAATTAACTGACATTTTATTGATAATATTTGATAATAATGATAATATTGATAATATTGATAATAATGATAATATTTGATAATATTCCGCAATTTAGATGATTTACTGACTGCTCCAGCGTTTCAACAAATCACTAGGCACACTGTGCATGTCACACTTTTTGACGCTTTAACGCTCGACGCTAAAACGCTCCCATGTAAAGGCACCTTTATAGTGTTGATTTCTTGCGGCCATTTGCTTCTTCGCGTGTCGGTTACTTGTTATTCTTTTTATTAGAAGGGAGTCACATGGTCAGGTGATTTTGGAGGTAATACTTCGTTTCTTTTTATATATAGAATATGTAATATTATAGAAAATAAAATGCAATTTCTAAAGAAATCTCTTCATATATTTTTTATATCATTGTTTAGACATGTTTCATAATGAACGAGAAGACTAACAAATTTGAGGTTATTTCTTTTCGACAATGGCTGTGTTCCGATATTCACAATATACGTGACAAAAACTATAGATTTTCCGTACTGACAGTGAATATCGGAACACAACCGATGTCACATGTAATTTTAATCCACCATATTTAGAATGGAATAAATAATAAGATCAGAAAGTAAAAATTGAATATGTTGCAGATGATATTTGTTGCAAACAATATAAATACTGCAGAATATGGAAACAGGTGATACTTCGTTGCATAGGTGTTTAAATCTTCTACATTTGTCGCGCTACACGCGAAAGTATCAAGCTTATTTATCAAAAAAAGGATTCAGCCCGCCAGTGAATGCTTGAGACGCGTATACAATAAGACAGCCTATATTTGGTTGTTAGCAACATTAATATTTTACATAATGTGATATCTCTCCCGATATTTGAACCTTTGAGACTACAAAAAATGGAAAAATTGTCACTGCTGATTATGTTTTGTCTATATTGTTCGATTGTAAATGCAACAGTATCAAGTATAGTTGGCATGTCAAATGCAGTATCTCCTAAATGTAGTACAAATACTGCAACAAACAATCAAGCTAATCAGAATGCAAAAACTATCGATGAAGAGTATGATACTTTGGCGATTATAGTTGCTGAAAAAAGTCTATTAGAAATATTGGGACAAGTATCAAACATTATCAAAAATAGCACATGTACGGGAGGACATGTAAGTAATATCTATAAGTAACATCTATTTGTTACTTTAGACGTTATACACAAAAATTTTATTTATTAATTGTATAATATTGTAATTTGTAATATTTCCCATTTCTATTATATTAATTATTATTAAGTCTTAATATATAACATTTTATTTTAAAAAAATTGAGTTTATATATATTTATTTGAAATTAAATTCTATGTATAGACTACAAAATCATTTACTTATTGGAGAGTGACAAATTCTTAATATAAATCATCTGTTGTTTTCTTTGGCTACTATTAATTATAGAAAGCTAATGGATTATTCTATAAACAGTTATATTAATTTAAAGAAACTAATAATAGCTTATTACTCATGTACATTTTTTGCTTCTTGCAGGCTTATACATTGAAAAGAGAACAAAAGCATTCTTTAGAAAAAGATGCGTTAAATCAATCCGATTCTATTATGTATTATGAAGATCTTTTGAGTTGCTCAGAGAACTCTACTGATGAAGGTATAAATATATATATGATATGTATTATATATTTATCAAATATATATTGCATATATATTTATATGCATTTAGTTATAATATTTAATAAGTATATTAGTTACATAAAAAAATGTGTATTCAGGATATGTTTGTATACGCTACAAAAATTTAGATAATTTTCATTTTATTGTGCAATTTTGTTTTTATTATACAATATTTTTATTATGTAATCAAATATTAATAATTATATAATTAATTATATTATTAATATAGAAACATATCAATGCTATTTTTTAAAAAAATTGTTTTAATTTTCATAGAATATTTAAAATTTTTACTATATAATTAATGCATGAAAATTAATTTGAAGCAAGTTATGTGATGTACAGTGGTATGTAATATGCACTATTGAATGCAGCTTCAAAGTGTTCATGCTGACATTTACATACCAATAGTTATATTAATGTAATGATATGTGTTCACTCCTATATGTATAGAACAAACTGTTATGTTAGTAGAGGAGGACAGCGAGCCCATTTTGGGACTATGGTTTGAAGAAACCCTTTCTCTATCAGATAAAATTTCAAGAAATGCCAATAAAGAAAAAAATAATGAAGCAAGTGCTGGACATATTGCTAGATCACCATCGTTCCAGACAATCGAAAGCGTAATGTAAGTTTTCAAATATAATAATTTCTTTATATACTTACTATAACCATAAATTATTACAAGGGAGTTACTTATACATATTATTATATTAATCAAGTTAGTTATATATATATTATTACACGTATATTATATATATAAATTAAAATATTTTTTGGCTCTGACCGATTTTTTCTTATTAAATTACTTTACAACTTTAGTGGCTCTGTCTTTGCAGTTTTAACTCTTAATTGTTAGTTCGTACCACCACCCTACATCATGGTCCAAAGTCTTTTGTTTTTTAAATTTGTATTATTACTATATGGACCGTTAACCCTTCTCATTATTTAGTTTTTAAAACATTTTTGTTGAAATGTATTGTCAGGAAAAAAGATCAATAATCAACTTCCTTACAATAATTTACGATTGTAATAAGTAATAAGTAAATACAAAGAAATGATAACGTAATATAAGATATGTTATATATGACATAATATCTTATGTTACATTATAAACTAAACTTAATATGTTATAAGCTAAACTAGAAACAAGGAGCAACATATATTGAAGTAATAATTAATAAAAACGAAAAGTATATAAATTTAATTTTAAATGCTAATTCATAATGTGTTACAGAACATAGAAATGCAAAAAAAGCAAAATACTACATGTAAAGTTTTAATTATAGATCCAGTATATCTTTTTTCTAATATTTTGTGTTATTCTTTAATTTTCTCTTATTACACTGATTTTCAAATCTCCACAAGTATTTTTATTTTTTATTTTTTTGTATTATTATTACTTTCAATATTGTTTGTCTGAATCTAGGCACAAACTTTTGCTTAAGTAAAAATAAGTCAATTACAAATATTCATTTTCATTTTGATAATAAAAATGAAAAACTGATTATTTTATCCTCTTAAGCATTATGCATTATGTAAAAATTTGCATCCCGTTATACTCTGATTTTCCGCTATAATCTGATGTCCCGCCATAATCTGATGCTCTCTGATTGGGTAACTGACAGTTGAAGCTCATATAATTGGTCATACCCAGATAGCCAAATGTCCTGATTTTGGAATCATGCTGTCGACAACCGTTGCAACAACTAATTTTGAAAAACTAGGGACAAGGTGAGACAGCATTATGCTTGTCGGGTTGAGCTCACATGATTTCTAATTCTAAGAACAGCAAATTGATGGCAACATGTTAACACCAATATCTTGTCTGCAAATAGGAGATTTGATAGCAATATGACGACAACTTGTTGTCAATTTGTCATCTGCGATTGACAGCACACTGATAACAACATTGGTGGCAATTTTTTAAGGATTTTTATCTGTTCAAAAAACACAGCTATACACAGCAACAATAATATACATATCAATGTTATAATTTTTTATTCAATAATGTAACTGATATGACAATCATCTTGTACTCTTAACAACAGAAATGCCACACAAATGCTTCAACACAGGTAAAGGTATGTACATATCATCAATATATATTTATAAATTTTGCATAATAAATACAGAGAGAATGCATATGTTCCAATATGCATAAATTCGTGTGTTGAGATATTTCTATTGTTGAATTTACATACATAAATAATACCAGTTACATTATTAAGTAAAAAAGTATAATATTGATGATATCGTGTTACTGCGTTAGCTTGTATTTAATAGATATATTTACAATTTTAATTTAAAAAATTTTATCACTTTTTTAATGCATTTTAAAACATTTTATTTTTAAATTATCCTTTTTTTACAAATAATATAAGTTTTATAAAATAGTTGTAAATAAGTGGTACAACAAGTTTTCTTTAAATTATATGTGTTTGTTTTTATATGTGTTTGAAATTATAAACTTTTTTTATGTATCTTTCAACAATTGATAATTATTAAAAATTTTTATTCGCAGCAGCATATTATATACGAAAAAGTATATTTTAACTTAATCTTCTACTTTAATTTAATCTACTACTTACTTTATACTTTAACATAATTAAAGCAATTTAATCATAGCAGTATTATCAATATATAAACATATACTCTTATGAAAAATATATTCTTATATTCTTACATGAAATAAACTCTTTAACTTAAACAACATACAAGAAAAAAATACTGATTGTTACATAATTTATCAAAAAAAAAATAAATAAATAAAAATTAAATATCTCCAATACATGTGACTAAGACCCTTTGCAGCAACATTATTTTGGATTTAAGCAAAACTTAAACATGTGTCTATCTTTATCTCTCTTTCTAAATAAATAAATAAATAAAGACAAACATATATTTAAGTCTCACTTAAAACCAAAATAATGTTGATGCAATCGGGCCTAAAGAACTTAGTCATAATCTTTGTATCACTTTCTTAAAAATCGCGGAATATATAAAAATGCAACTGCGCAAAAAAACTTCAAACTAAATTATTATTTAATTGCTTTCTGGATCGCCATCATTCGCATCGTCAATTTCATTGTCATTATGTATTGTCTTCTACTTCGCCAAATAAGTTATTATCTGCTTCACGTCGCAATCTCTGACGTTGTCCTCTTCCTTTTTCATTCATTCTTTTCATTACATTGCGATTTACTTTGTTTTCCGAAGCGTACTGCCTCCCCCACTTCTCGAAATATTAATTTCGTAATGGTTTTTTAAAATGTGCATTTCAGCATACAGCATCTGTAAATTAAAGATAACATTAATTCGCAATTTATTATATAAAATAAGATATTATATATATATATATATATATATATATATATATATATATATATATACAGGGTGTCTCATTTAACTTGACACATCGAAATATCTCGTAAAGTCTAAAAGATACGAAAAAATGTTTCAGACAAAAGTTATATGGTTTCAAAGGGGACATAAGGTGGTGTTATTAGTTTAACCTTGAAGAGCTTCCTGAAGGTCACGTGAAGGTTACCTCCAACTTTTTAAATGGGAGACCCTATATGCTTTTGCATATTCTTGTAGCTTATCTCGAGAGCTTTTCAAAACACTATAATAAAATATTTCTTCATTGAGTACTTTTCGAGTTATGAGGCTTGAAATCATTTCTTAATTTTACATAAACCGTAAAATATCTTGTAAAATATTCATTTTTCGATTATTTTACCTAAATACTTTTATGTACAAAATAATGAGAGGAATCAATTGGTGTAAAGAAAACACAAAGTTATATTTAAGAAAAAATATGTAATTTGCAATTAACAATTTCTTAAAAATAATTGTGTTTTTTTTACACCAATTGATTTCTCTCATTATTTTGTACATAAAAGTATTAAGGTAAAATAATCGAAAAATGAATATTTTACAAGATATTTTACGGTTTATGTAAAATTAAAAAATGATTTCAAGCTTCATAACTTGAAAAGTATTTAATGAAAACTAACTTAATTATAGTGTTTTGGAAAGCTCTTGAGATGAGCTACAAGAATATGCAAAAGCATATAGAGTATCCCATTTAAAAAGTTGGAGCTGACCTTCACGTGACCTTCAGGTGGCTCTTCAAAATCAAACTAATAACACCATCTTATGTCCCCTTTGAAACCATATAACTTTTGTCTGAAACGTATTTTTTCGTATCTTTTAGACTTTACGAGATATTTCGATGTGTCAAGTTAAATGGGACACCCTGTATATATATATATATATATATATATATATATATACATCTTAGACGAAGAATTTTTTTTACATCGTGTAAAGTAAAGCCGCCTACAAAATGTAAATATTTGACCTAAAATAGAATGTAATTAAATAAAAATTTTATATGAATTTTTTAACGATATGGGTTAATCTGATCTGGGTTATAATCCACTCAATTATAGCCAATCACGGTCATTTCATTCTTCTAAGGAATAATTAAGTAGATTACAACTCAAGTTGGATTAACTCATATTGTTCGAAAAGATGCTATTAATTTTGTTTCTATTATTATTTTAGAATTAATATTTTCGTTTTGTTATTATACTTATAAATTTGTGAAGAACTTACCGCATTTTCGTATTTTTCTTCTAATATGTTATTGAAATCTTCCACTTGTTGGACTGATTGTAGAGGGAATACAAATGACTTAGGAGGCATAATATTATTTATTCGTTTGCGCAATAATTTGTCTAGTTTTTCGTTTATAGTTCTACAAACATAATGTAATTATTTGACATTTATTTTATAAATTTATTAATTATTATTAAATACATGCTTATTTTATTATTTATAAAAAATATATATATATATATATATATTTTTTTTTTATAAATAATAAAATAAGCATGTATTTAATAACACGATGTAAAAAAATTCTTCGTCTAAGATGTATATATATATATATATATATATATATATATATATATATATACATATAATTTATAAAAAATAAATATACAAGATGTTCTAAAACGACGGGATAAAATATTTAATGGAAGATTCTTAAAAACATTTCCAAAAAATTAAAACAAAATTTAATATAAAAATCATCGAAGCTATAGTAGTTTTTAAATTAAAAAGTAATTATATTTCATGCATCATAAGGCAGGTTTCGCACACTCAAATTCTGCACAATGACAAATGATACAAATGTTGCAATATTTATGTGTGAATATAGAAGCACTTTTATCTGAAACTGAAATTTTAAAGTAAATATTACATTTACACAAATGTAAATGTTATTATTTATAATTAAAATGAATATAAAATAATTACATAACATTTTTTTAATTAGCTTTCGATAAACAACACTATAAATAACATGTAATAACATGTGTAATATGAAAATGAACATTTTGATTTTAAAATAAATTTATTTTGTTTTTTATTTCTAGAATTTTGTATTTTTAATAGTATTTTATATTATGTCAATTATATTTTTATATAACAATTTTTATACTAAAATTATTACTAAAAAAAAATAATAAAAGCTATTTGAAAAAACTTAAAAGATAATTAAAAAGGCCTCCGAAAGCAAATTGAAAAATGTTTTTTAAACCCGATATTAACTTACTGAAAATCTTCTTTTGAAACAACATTGTTCAATTTTTCGTATTGACATCTATAACATAAAAATTTTCAAATATACATTATTTGCATGCAAAAACGTATATATATATGTAATTGTATACTTTAAATGTGTGTTCTGAGTACACTGCGCGAAATCGATTTGGTCCGTGACCCCTTCCGCAGGGCAAGAAAAACCGGCCGATTGGCCTTAGTATTTTAGTAAATGTTATTGACATTTCTCCACATTTCCCTTGCTTCGCGGAAGAGGTCACGGACCAAATCGATTTCGCGCAGTGTACATACCTACTTCTCTATCTCGTGATCTGCTTCCTGTTTGGCTCTGACCAAAATTGTATTCTGCTTGGCTCTGACCAAAATTGTATTCTGCTTGGCTCTGAACGAGATTGCATCTTGCTTGATTTTGATGAAGATTATATCCTACATGACTCCGATCGAGATTGTTTCTTTCTCAAATAGATATTAGTCGAGAAGGTTCTTTCTGTTATATAAAACATTTATTGAAAACATTTGCATTTTACTTGAGCTTTTTATAAAGCTCGAAATATTATCATAATATTATACCTGGTACTGATGTGCTTCATGTCGCTGAGTTTGAGGAGATTCATAGAACGAAATAGTTGGAACAGACTTTTCGTAAGAAATTCTATTATTATTATTAATATGAGAGTCATACATATATGAAGTAGGAAAAGAAGGAACAAGGAAAAGATGTATTCTCGATTGTATTTACATTAAAGTTTGATGAACTGTTCCGTGTTAATAATTTAGTGTACGTCTTTTGACGCATTGAATTATTACTGCCTAAATATTGTTCATAAATAACATTTGGCAGACTTTCCATTTGCGAAACTGGATTCAGTAATTGGGGCGAAGAAGTATTAAAGATTGCAGGGGAAGGATTTTCAGTAAAGGCATTATCAGGTTCGTTCTCCTTATCATTACTTAAATCTTTTCTTATCTATCTTTTCTTATCTATCTTCTCTCTTTGATCAATATGATTTTCGATATCTGTCGTCTGTTCAGATCGACTTTTATGAGTTCGAATTCTTTTAATCGATTTCTCTTTATCTGATGATGAAGTGGTGATATATTTTTTAGGCCTTATAATCGGACGAAAAGGATGATCTAAGCTATAAATAAAAATTTTCGTTATTATAATTAAATGTTACTTAAATTTTATGAATTATTTTATTAAAAAATATACATTAATATATATTATTAAGTTGAAAAATATGAACCAATAATCTGAAATTAAATATTATGCGTTCAGATATTTACTACCAGTATTGACAATTTATAGTTTACGTCACATATATTATAGATTTTCAGTATTGGCAGTGAATATATAGAACGCAGTTATGATCGCATAGTATTATTTCATTGGACACACACGCGCACACACACGTACACACATATGTATGTATGTATATATATTTACTGTTTTGATTGTCCTGTTCGCTGCGTATTCAATATGAAGTTCATATGTTTTCGAGGTCTCTTTTGAATTATTTTTTTAACCCTTGTGTCCATTCTGACAACAATATATTGATATATATAGTAATTATTTAATTAAATAAATTAATGTCTAAACTTAAAAAAGTAGAATTTATCCTAGAAAATACTGTAAAATGTATAAACTGCACATAGAAAAACGAAAGCAATGTTAAATTTATTTTAAATTCTAGATGCAACAAACATCATAAAAAGATGCCTCCATAAATAACCAACATACGTATATAAATATATAATACAAATGCAGCATGAAGAAAATGTTAGAAAATAAAACATAGAAACTCAAATTATAAAGAACGAAAGAAAGAAGAAAGAAAACATGAAAAATGATAGATATTATGATTATAGGAGAATCGAAACAATATATTTTCCAGCGATAGGCTCATCAGTCTCAATAATACTAGAATCTGAATCCTCACTATTGTTAATTGCCCACCAGTATGGTGTCAAATAGCATTTAGCTTTGACTTCATTAATAATAGAAATAATATTAAAATTATTACACAATGCGGAACATTTAAATACATCGATTAAAGAAGAAGAGATACCAACATTATAAAAATCTTTGACGATTTCAAATTTTTTTATTACAAAATAAGGTAAATTTTCCTTTTCTAAAATATTATATACAGGGTGAATCATAATGGTTGTAACAACCTTTTATCATTAGAGATCAATTACCGACTGCAACTGTAATCAATTGAATGATTCATAGATGACAGCTGCTTGGATCGACCGTGTCTGCAGTAACGTACAAGCGAGTTAAATACTGTGAATTAAATAATATACATATTCCATGCATACTTTTCTAATATATTTAACTTTTTTATGTACATATTTTTCTTTCTACACGGTTTTTTTCTAATAACGTGATTTCTTATTATTGTGAAACGTATCTGCCACATAAAAAGAGATATCTTTTGCATTCGTGTATTTTTTAATACGATTTTTTTAAATAATGATTTTTTAATACATAGAATTTGACGGCGATTTTTTTCATTCTTACACAAATCATTTTAACGCGTAAAAAGAGTTGGATTGGTAAAGATACAAAAGTATTCTTTTTTTATTAAAAAAATGCGTAATTCTGCTTTCTACAAGAATTATTCTACTTATTATTAATTTTCTAAGTTATAACTTTTACATTCTTAATATCTACAGCAGAATATTTCTTGTAGAAAGTAGAATTACGCATTTTTTTTTATAAAAAAGGAATACTTTTGTATCGTTTACCAATCCAACTCTTTTTACACGTTAAAATGATTTGTGTAAGAATGGAAAAAATCGCCGTCAAATTCTATGTATTAAAATACCATTATTTAAAAAAAATCGTATTAAAAAATACACGAATGCAAAAGATATCTCTTTTTATGTGGCAGATACGTTTCACAATAATAAGAAATCGCGTTATTAGAAAAAAACCGTGTAGAAAGAAAAATATGTACATAAAAGAGTTAAATATATTAGAAAAGTATGCATAGAATATGTATATTATTTGATTCACAGTATTTAACTCGCTTGTACGTTACTGCAGACACGGTCGATCCAAGCAGCTGTCATCTATGAATTATTCGATTGATTACAGTGCAGTCGATAATTGATTTCTAATGGTAAAAGGTTGTTACAACCATTATGATTCACCCTGTATAATGCACACTGATGAATCACGAAGAACACAACACCTATCATTCAAAGAATCGACATTTATAGATGTACTTACTCTGCAGCTTTTTATATTGAGAAATACCCACTAAAAGTTTCAAAGGCAATGGTCCTTCGTTATGTTTTTAAAAAAATTTGATTTTATCATCAGTAACTAGTTCAAGTTTTTCTCGTATTTCCCTCTCAGTTTGTCTGTAGAAAAATTGTTGGAGAGGATGAGAGGTTTTCTATAATATTTTCTAAAAAACGAAATATTATTTTCGTAAGGAAAAGCTGAGAAAGAATCAAGAGGATCTAGCCGTTCTACGTCTTTTGTTAAATGTAACAATGCATAAACTTATACGAGAGAAAAGTACGTTCATAAAAATCAAGACATTTTTTCACAAACGTTTCAAGGGCAAGTTTTGCAAAAAATAGCAATGTTTGCGAAATTGCTGGGCGACACAGTGCACGTATCGCCGCATGCAAAAGTAAAAAGTGCATATAATCATGTTGTTCCATAATATTTAGTAAAACTATTGATCCAGTATATAAGACAAATTGGCGACCTTCAGTAGCTTTATAATCCTTATAATCAGCTAATGATCTTGATTTTCTCGCAAATTCTCGTGGGCAATACGAAGTAAGATGTTGAAGTTTTTTTGAAATCAAATTTTGATTGCGACCAGATAATTTCATTTTTTTCCCGTACTTTCCAGTAACCCATGCAGTCAATAACTTTTTGGCAACACCTATACAAATCAAATGCATATATTCAATGGATACTTGTGAAACTATACCCATTAATAAACGATTTAGTGGACTCGGTCTTTTGTGATGATATTCGTCAATGAACTGAGCATATTCGTAAATGATGATCATCCGTTCGTAAATGATGATTTGTACCTATAAAGACTATTTGATCCTTGTATAGAGTATCAACAACTTTACATTTGGAACACGGATTACTGGAGGAATGTCCAAAATGATTTAATATCCAAGAACGTGCAGGTGCATCTGCAATAAAAGCTCGCAACATTATTAGAATTTGTTTCTGAAGAAAGAAAACACCGTTATCAATAACTTGTAGTACATCTTCAATGAACTGATTAAGAAAAAGATCAATACTATATGATTTTTTTGGTCCTTTGTATATTCCTACAACTTCAGGTGTGGAATTAGCAATGTTAGCTACAGAACATATTGAATCAGCCAAATTTGCATATTGCCCGATTTGTTCAATCTGGCTCCGTCAATACTCCAATCTACTTGAAGTACATCTGGAATCAAGTTTGCTAATGTTTTTTGTAAAATTCTAATAAAAGCCTTTGCAAATCCTATATGCAAGTATTCCCCAGGTTCAATTTTAGTTATGCTAGGATCTTTGCACGGAGTCTGTAATAATGTTCGTGAATCTTTCGGGAGATATAAGAGACATGGTAGTGAACGTAATGTTTTTAAAATAATATTGCCTTGTGTATGTGTAAGATTTCCTTCTATAAAAGCTTCTGCAAGAGATTCTTGAAACATATGAGAAGTATTTATTTCTGCATTGAAATTACAATCACTTTCAGCTGAAATGTTTTTTTTTTGGAATAGAAATTATAATTATCAATATTCATTGCAACATCAGAAAAAAATTGACTGCATTGTTTATTGATAATAGAAGAAAGTTGACTATATTTGTCAATAACAAAAAAAGTTGACTGCATTGTTAATGAACATTAGACATTTGATCGATACAAAAATTGTGCAATGCTGGAGATACACTGGGACTATAATTACCAATCAGAGCATTTTATGGATTATCTACTGGCATATTATTATCGTCTTGATCATTATTCTGTTGCAACAAGTTCAATAGTCCGTCTACGTTGACGTAGTAATAATTTATACATTGGCTCCCGACCACGTAACATTTTAAAATTTCGAGTTTCATTTTAATGTTAAAAACACAGATTATTAAACTTTTCAATTATCAAGTGGCAAAAGAAAAATTAATAATTAAACAATTCAAAAAATTGTAAAACGGTAAACTTATACGTCACAGTGTTCCTTAAAAAAATATTTTTATAAAAAATGTAGGAAGTTCTATTGTCACCTGTAACACAAAGAATATAAAAATAATAAAAAATTAGCAAAAAGCAATGTATAATGTATGAAAAATGATTGAATAATTAAAATGTAATACAAGACGACTCACATAAAGTTTTACAAGCTAATGATTTTAAAAATATGAAAAAATGTTTCAAACAAAAGATAAAAATTATGATTATTAAGATTATTTCGAAGTCACATATCTCCAGGGAATCAAACGACATCGTTGCAAAATTCAAAACATGTACTTAGAGTGTACCCTCTACAACATTAAAGTCAAAGTCATCAGCGAAGTGTTAATTAAAGTAAACATTTACCTAATTTTTATTTAATTTATATTTTTCTAACTTAATAATATTTTTATATATTTTTATATATTTATATATTTAATATTATTTTTTATCTTTTTTATATTATTGTATATATTACTTTATCAAAATATTGGTCTTATAATTCAAAGTGTTCTTGTAATGAAAAAATATTTTATTATAGTAATTTGGACACAACATAAGCTAAAAGAATATGTAATGAAAAATGGAATGTTCTATTCAAGAAATTGGAAGTGACCTTTACGTAAACTTCAAATAACTATTTAAAGTCAAACTAATGACATCATCTTATGTCGAAACTAACTTTTATCTGTTTCTGTAAAACTCATTTTTCCATACTTTTTTCTCATCCTATATAATTATGAAGACAAGTAAAAATATAAGTATATAAGAGTAATAATAACGTTAGAGATTATCATATGTAATAGCAAAGCTATTGTAATAAATATTTATAAGAATACACATCTGTACATATAAAATATTATATGAAAATGCTTTGTCAACTATTTCTGTGATGTTAAAACTCAAACATCTGAGGAATTTAAATAAATAAATATATATATATATATATATATATATATATATATATATTACTGTTTATAGAAAAAAGTGTGAAGAGTAACATAAGAAGTTGTAATAAAAAATTATAATTACAAAAACTTACACGTTACAGTATTGTATTTTCTTCTGCAAAAGTATAAATGCTATCTATGCTTTATAAACATTTTTCTTCTAAAATCTAGTGCTCGAAGTTTTGTTTATTAGCTGTAACACAGAAAAATACAAATACAATAGAAAATTGGCAAAGAACAATAACAATTTATAATGCATGATATGTGAAGAAATAAATAATTAAAATCTAATATAAAATAACATCATAATAAGGCAGGAAACTATAAATATAAGAGATAAATACATATGACTTATGTAATAGCAAAGCCACATGAAATATAAGCATATATTTATTGTTAGCATGTAACGCATAAAATGTTTATGAAAATACTTCAACTAAATCATGAGAAGTTTAAGAACACATGAGAGGTTATAAAACATTGAATATATATGTACTGTCGGAAAAAACGAATAATTAATAATTAAGTAAATTGTATAATATAATAAGAAAACTGACTTACATTACAGTATAGTTGCCTCTTCTCAATAAGAGCTCAATAAGAGCTCATATATGCTCATTATACAGGGTGTCCTAGACCATTTGTACACCCCTTTTCTTTCAAAAACTAAGCATTTTAGAGAAAAACGTTTTCGACAAAAATTGTATGGTTTTGAGGGGAACATAAGATGATATCATTGGTTTGACCTAGGATGGCATCGTTAAGGTCAGGTCAAGGACATCTTTAATTTCTTAAATGGAACCACCTATTTTTTATTGCATATTCTTATAGCTTATGTCGAGAGCTTTCCAAAACAATAATAATAAAGTATTTTATCATTGAGTACTTTTCGATTTATGAGGCTTAAAATAATATCATAATTTTTACATAAACTATAAAATATCTAGTAAAATATTTATTTTTCGATTATCTTACCTTAATACTTTTATGTACAAAATAATGAGAGGAATCAATTGGTGTAAAAAAACACAATTGTTCCGAAGAAAAAATATGTAATTTGCAATTAACAATTACATATTTTTTTTTAAAAACAACTGTGTGTTTTCTTCACACCGATTGATTCCTCTCATTATTTTATACATAAAAGTATTAAGGTAAGATAATAAAAAAATGAATATTTTACTAGATATTTTATGGTTTATGTAAAATTGAAAAATTATTTCAAGCCTCATAACTCGAAAAGTACTCAATGCAAAAATACTTTATTATAGTGTTTTGGAAAGCTCTCGACATAAGCATATAAGAATATGCAATAAAAAATAGGTGTTTCCATTTAAGAAATTAAAAGTGTCCTTGACCTGACCTTAACGATGCCATCCAAGGTCAAACCAATGACACCGTCTTATGTTCCCCTCAAAACCATACAATTTTTGTCGAAAACGTTTTTTTCTAAAATGCTTAGGTTTTGAAAGAAAAGGTACGGGTAGTCTAGGACACTCTGTATAATGTAGAGCAATGGCCTACAATGGCCTACAATGGCCAAAGCCGAGAACAATCGGTCAGTGATCGATGATAATTCACTACAGCACGTAAAAGAAAGTATAGATACTTCAAGTGATCTGCTTTGAAGTTTCGCACACCGATAGAAAATATAGAAAAAAATACTTTTCTTTGAAAATAAGCTCAAAAATCACTTTATCGGAAACACGTGAACATATATTATTCAATGCATACCATATACCATATATACATTGAGGATTGCGCATCAGTGTAGCGATCGACAATATGAGTCTGTTTCTTGCGCATGCGTGGTTAAAACAACGGCTATCGTTGGTGCATGCCATTTATTTATTTAATGTATTAATGTATTAACGTATTTAATAACATTTAATGTATTAGCATATGTAATAACAATTAATCCAACTTAAAGCTTCTGCCCATTGAATGCGGAAACGCTTGCCACGCAGTAAAAGGAGATGCGGTGGTCAATCATTTTATCACTTTTCTATAAAAGCGAAAGATATTGATTGTCGCATCTTTTCTTTTATTGCTCGATTTTGCCAAGGTTTTCGTACTTATATGTCATTATACATATATTACGCACTACTGCTTAATCATCGTAATTAAAAATAAATATTTTGTTTGTATATTAAATCTATAGTCTTTTTTTATTAAATATTTGTCTTAAACGTATGTACCTAAAGTACAATTTTATAATATGTATGCTTTGTTGACAACAATGATTAATAGTAATAATATCTTTTTTATTAAAGATATACAATGCGCTTTTGCAGGGAGCGTTCCCGAACCTTTTACAGTTTAATCCCTCCACTTTTCCCGACCTGGCCATTTTGCGACCCTTACATTCTAGAATCCCCTCCCACCCCACGCACCCTTACCTCTTCCTCACCTTAAAAAGAACCCTCCCCCCTATATATCCTTCCTTCTCCCTCTCTGTATCTCCCTTTCATTCAGTCCTGCTTCCTCTCGTTCTTTCTCCTTCTTTTCTCCTCCCTTTTGATGCTCCTCCATCCTTTCCTCCTTTCTGTCCTTCTCAAGGCCCTTCGTGCATCTTCCTCCTCCTTCCTCTACCCTCCTGTGCTCTCTCTCCTTTATAGTTCTTTCCTGCAACATAATAACCTATCTCCCATCCCTTCTCTAATAGCTCTTTCTTATCCTTCCTTTTTCCCATCTTTGCTATTAACACCATCCCCGTTGTCCCCCTTCTCTCCATCACCTCGATTATTTCCACTCTTCTTCCTAACTCCTCAGCCACTATTCTCTCAATCACTCTTCTTCTCTCCTCCGAATTTCCCCCCTCTATTCCTCCACACCACGTTCATTCTTCTTTCCCTCCTCATCATCCACTCCTCCCCCCTTTCTCTACCCCTCCTCTCCGACTCCTTCCTCTCCTTCTCTCTTCTCACTCT